AATACGTGGGTGTCTTCAAATCAAAATCCTCAACAAAACTATTCTACAGTTAAATAAAAGTTTTACAAGAGATGAACAACAATTACTCAATGGCCTCACAAATTAAATGGGTCGTTGTTAATCTGTAAAGTAAGATATTTAAATGAATGTATATACACATAAACTGGTGAACTCTTTAAAGTGTTAAGACTATTCATGCAGTAACCGAGATACAGAGATCAGCATTAGAGAATAGTTTGAAATGTGTATACAGATGTGTTCTGTATGTGTATACATGTTGATGAGAGAACAAGAAAGCAAGAGAAAAAGATAATAGTGAAATAAAGATAAAATTGTTTTGTTTTTTTTTTTAAAGTCTTAAAATGTATAATGAAAAGCCTTATCCAAAAACTCATTACTCTGGCCAAAGGTCTTTGTTCGTAAGGAGTGTATTACGACTTAAGTAAGTTAAATAAGTGCATTTATTTACATTACACTTATAGATAATTAAATAACAACCAACTTTTTTATATTCTCAGATACTCCTTACTGACAGGCAAAGCGTGCCAATTGTACAGACATATTTGTTTTTTTTTACTAAGGTCACATAGATAGTATTGCAGTTTTTTAAAATTAGTTTTTTAAAGTAGTCGGAATAAGGACTAGTTCTTTAAATTAAATTATCTCAATTTTATTTCTTTGAATTTTACACTTGTCATAGTGTAAACTTCCAACAAATAACACAGTACAAGCAGATGAAAGCAATGTAAAATGTATAAATAAGTGCACTACGTTCAATGTGTGTTTCATTCATTCTGTATGGGAGCAATGATCAGATGAAAAGAGGACTTATACAATAAACTATATATTACATGCCATAGTCACTAATTGTCATCGGAAGTCTTAGGCTTCTTAGTAGTTATTACGATCATATTGGATCACAAACGAGAAATGATAAATTAAATTTTTTTACATTTACAAATAAAGAGAATTTAAGTAAAACAGAATATAGAAGAATATAATAATGTTACTTTAGCAGTTAGCTAAAACACGTATAAAAATGGACTGAAGTTGTTCCTCCTTCCGAGGTCAGCAAGGGGCATGTCACTCTTGAGTCAAAGCAAGTTATATAAATATTAGCAAACGATTACAATAGATTTCAAGCGATTTCCCACGTTATAAATATATATTTCAAACGTTATAATGATGAAGCGTCAGACTACGCTCGCATCAACTCCCGTTAACTCCCGTTCTTTATTTTCACTGATTCTACTGATACGATTTAGTTATTCATACGATTTCATGTATGTCATTATAATTTGCATTTGATTCTATTTTGATTTCTAACGTTATTAACGTTAAAAACTGTTGACTCATGAGTGACATGCCCCTCGGAGATCAGTAAATAATTGTAAAAGGCAAATGAAGTGCATTTACCATCATTATTTAATATACATTTAATAACTTATTTTCGCTTCACGTGCCTTTGACGACTATTTGCTGACTATCAGAGAGAAAGTGAATAAGCTTTGATTATTCTTATTTTTACAATTCATATAAAGCAATATCATTATTTTGTTTTATTCAAATTCTTTTTATTTATAAATGGCATACAAGAAATTTCGATGTACCGTTTCTCTCTTATGACGTCACAATCTTGTACGCTGCGACAATTATTCGGGAGCCTTAATTATACATCTTATTTGAAATAATTATCTATACAAAGAGAGAGAGAGAGAGAGAAGAGAGAGTGCTTTAGAAATAGGTGGATAAATTTTGGTATCATGTTTTACTATTCCTAAGGATGTGAAAAAAGATCGTATAAACGAAATGTTTCCTTTTCGATATAAACTTTTTGTTTACCTCGAAATTTTACACAGATAGGTATCACATGTAGAATTATGAGAACTATTAATACTTCTTTTTTTTTTTTAGTAAATATTGTGGTAGATCAAGAATTCCTATCGAAGGGGGGAGGAACATAATATGTCGCTTTATTACAAAATTTTTTAAAGAAGTCTCCATAAAGCCGGATTTTGGCCCTATTTCAATTTTATTTTAAGTTATTGTAAATGTTTTATTATTGCACGAATTATCAAAATCAGGTGATTTCAGTTTAAACGGTAGGGTTAGAGATGTATTTGGTACCTGTTATCTTGTAACTAGTTAGCCTCACCCAGGATTAATAGCGTGGACGTGTTGAATTTCTGATCCTGGTCTGAAGTGCATAAGCACGTGCGGAAACGGTGGCTCGATCACTATGACTCGAGAGATGAAGGGACAGTAGGCGTCGCTGCACACTTCAGACCGATTTCTAAAGTGCCTCGTCCATACATATATACACACACACGCATACACAATATTTTTAATCATTTTTATATTATGATACAGATATAATTTCCAAAAATAAAGAGTTATATAATTTTAGTTATTCTTATCTCTGAACGTTACATCACAAATTTTTTTTTTTTCTATGAGTGAGTGAAATTTTATTTATTTTATTTAGTGTATTCTGATTCTCTTGTATTCTGCCATTAACAAAAAAGTTATTCCACAAAAGTATTATTCCGTCTATGTTCATACACAATATGGAATTCAATAATAAATTGATTGATAAAACTACACAAAGCATCCATAATTGTATAATAATACTGTTTTCACAAATAAATATATTATAAAACTATTCAGTCCATTACAGTTATAGAAATTAAGTACAACGCATGTAGATTAGGCCCATACAAATAAAACAGGATTTAATTACACAATTTATTTTTATATTGATGTTGTAACAACCAATGGATAATACAGTACAGTTTTTATATATAAAATTTCTTACAAAGAAACTGGTGGAATGATTTTGACAGCGAACGTGCAAATCCACAATATTTTTTAAGTACATTAAGTAATACTACGAGTACATCACATAAAATTTGTTTTATTTTTTTATTAATTATATCTCTTCTCTGTTTTCTTGCTTTTTTCAAGAATGTATTGCCTATATATGGATATGGCTGATATAGGTACTGCTACTAATGATTTAGTTCAAATAGTCCTCTCACTTTAATAGGTCATGGATAAATTATTTCCAAAATTTAAAATGAGAAATTTTCAATCAAATGAAAAAATATTTCGTTGTATTATTTATGCAGAATTTTTGAATTTGATAAACATGGAAAATCTGTGCCATCGCAATAAAAAGAATTGCAGAATATTATACGCATGTATGAATTTTGCATGATTAAAAATATATAAATTTATATATTTATATATTCTTAAATTGCAAAGATCCAATAATTACATATTTATGTCCTCTTTGATTGAAATGCACTTGTAACGTAGGCCTTGAAATAAATTGATATGATATACATATAACATTTTTATGTACAAAAACAAAGAAATACATTTCATATTAAATTTATCAATAATTTTGCAATCTTTTTGCAGATTTCCTATTAAGTAATGTATTTCCCTAACAGTTACTTATTCCATCTGACTTTGTTCTTTTCTTTATATAGAGGAATTATAGAATATTTTAAATGTCTTTACTTATTGTTTAATATTCTTGTAAATATATAACTATATTCTATAGATTTGTAAGTTATAACGTAAACACAATATAGATACTGTATTATATAAAATAATACAATTGTGGTATGTATATTATAAAAATACACACACACACACACACAAGAATAAAAAGTAATTATACTTACTCATTTCAATAAAATAGGATAATTATATCGAAACAGAGCCCATTTAGGTAATGGGACGATATAGACACGTATGTCTACAAAGTAATAAAAAGCAAGTATGTTGAAAAATAATATGGAAAGAAATCTTCAGTTAATTCATCTATAAAGCATAGAAATTTTCATAAAAGAATAAGCATGAAGTGCTTCAGCTCATAAAAATTTCGACATAATTCATTGATACAACTTCACATGTTTGTACTATTTGTTCTATTATTCGAAACATTAATGCTTATTTTTCTATATAAATTTCTATATATTGGGCTCATTATATTTCAAACAAAAAACAAAAACAATTTCTGCAACATCGATCGTAATCATATAAATCTGTATCAGAAAAGAATTTAGAGAGTATCAAAAGCTTGTATTGTAGCGCTATCCCCTATACATCAAATGGTAATATATTGCGGTAATTTCCAATAAATTTATGTTAAATTTTTATTATTTTATGTACAAAGATATAATTAAACGATTTCAATCCTGAAACTATAGTTACAAAAATATTTATTATCCTATCATCCTTGCTGAGAGGAGTTGGAACATCTAGAATCATAAAAGATTAATAATAATAAAACAATTAATATGAACAAAAGAAGGGTAAAGAGCCTATAATGTAACAGAAAACTTTAATTAGTTTAATTCAAATAATATCAGTATTACAAAGAACTATAACAAAAAATTTTCGACACCGATCGGGTTATTCTCAATGTTACAAAGAACATGTTACAAAAATTGTTATCAATTTACAATATATATATTCGCATTCTTCATTTAGTGCAATGCAGCGAGTCAATAAAATCAGAATTCATGGTAGCAAAAAAGTCATTCTAAAAAGTAACGATAAACAAAAGAGAGTTAATAACAAGAACACACATTTAAATTAATAAAACAGTTATACACGTTAAAAGAGTTGAGAGAATATATTAACATAATAGGGTATCTTATCTAACAGTATATGTAAAAAGAATTGAAAATCCATTTGATAAAAAAGAGAGAAACGCAGAAAATTCGCAGAGTAGTCCACATATTGATATCGCGTAATAAATTTTAACTTTTAAAAATTGAACGAAATAAAATTTGCGAAATGTTACAACATAAAAATATGCAGCGAAAAAAAATATGCGCTGTCTCGCTCGCTCTCGTGGTACGTAGTTCCCGCAGCTCGAAAATGGTGCCGCTAGTGTAAAACATTACAGAGAAAGGCCGCCATGGCCGCTCTCGGGTTTTTCTCTGCTACAGCTAATCGCGCGTATTTTTCACGTGGGACGAAAATCCTAGACAAGAAAAGTCAACAGAGATACGCGATCGACTCCTTGTGACTTAACTCATGATTGGAGTGAACAAAATCATGTTTTGCCGTATTAAAATGACTGTCTTAAACTTTTATAAAATTCAAATGTTAATCGGATATTTTTATTTGTATGTAAACGCTGTGAAGGATAATAGTAACTGTCAGTGCAGCAAATTAAATCGGCAATTAATTTTTAGTCGTCAGGAAGGATATTGCATTGTGAATAATATTAAATTCAATGCAACTAACGTAATAAAAGAGAAAAGAAAGATGGTTAAAATTAACGCCGGTACATATTTCATAGGAACGAACAATCCAATTTTAGTAGCTGATGGAGAAGGACCAAAACGCGAAGTAGTGTTAGATAGTTTTTATATAGACAAATTTGAAGTAAGTAATAAAGAATTTATGACGTTTGTAAGTGCTACTGGATATATGACTGAAGCAGAAAACTTTGGGGATTCTTTTGTCTTTGAGGGTCTTTTAACACAAACTACAAAGGATAAAGTCAATAAAGCGGTTGCACAAGCTCCTTGGTGGTTACTTGTGAAACAAGCCTCATGGCAACATCCAGAAGGTCCCAACTCAAATATTACCTGTACGTATAAAAGTAAAAAAGAAAATATACATTCAATAATATATTTATTTTTATAACAAAGATATTTTTATTTAAATTTTATTATTGTCATAAAGGTATTTTCTTTAAATTGACAAATTAATTATAAGGTATTTAGTCAGAATGGATCATCCTGTTAGCCATGTTTCCTGGAACGATGCAGTTGCTTACTGCAATTGGATGGGAATGAGATTGCCAACTGAAGCAGAATGGGAAGTTGCATGTCGTGGTGAACTCTCTGATAGGCTTTATCCTTGGGGAAATAAACTAATGCCAAAAAATCAGCATAAGTAAATTGTTATATTTATGTATTTTACATTTTTTACAACAATACTACTCCCATTGTAAATAAATATCATTTCCGTTATGCATGTACAAAGTTTCCTATAAAGATCACATTTACTGAATTTCATTGCTACACCAAGTATGCATCATAATTTTAATTAATATATGTATCACATAATATAATATTTATTATAATATAATACGAATATAATAACAATATATTTATCATCATATTGTAGAGCTAATATTTGGCAAGGCAATTTTCCTACAGAGAATACTGAAGAAGATGGATACAAAGGTACATCACCAGTTACTATGTTTTCACAGAATAGATATGGTTTGCATAATATTGTTGGAAATGTTTGGGAATGGACAGCAGATTGGTGGGTAATAAAGCACTCAAGCGATCGATTAATAAATCCAGTAAGCAATTAATTTGTTTAAATAATTTCTTAATATATAATTATGTATTTTATTTATTGTATATACTTAATCACACATATATACACACACACACCTATACGTACACGTATATGCTATATATCGTACTGAAATAGTTCTTGTTAAATTTTTAGATTGGTCCTTCTAGCGGTAGTGATAAAGTGAAAAAAGGTGGTTCATATCTATGTCACAAAAGTTATTGCTACAGATACAGATGCGCCGCGCGTAGTCAAAACACACCTGATTCATCAGCTGGAAATTTAGGTTTTAGATGCGCTGTATCAGCATAAGTGATGTATTAAAGTATTAAAAAGATTAAAACTTTGAAGTTGGATATATCAAGATTATAATAATATATAAATAAATATATATTTTATTTACGTTTAAAATTTGTTTCAGATATTTGTATATACATGAAATTATAATGTTACGTCTAATAAAACTTTTTAAAATAAAATAAGAGATATTTCTGAAAAAAAAATCTAAATTAAATTAGGAATACCTACTTTTCAGTTTAAGCAGATCTTTGTGCTTATATATCTAAGTACAGTACGTAACAAGGATATTTGGAATTTGATTTTAGAAGTCTACATTTAATTTTTAGTTATTTTTACGTTTCTATTGTGTTTTAATAATCGGCTGATGTAACTTCAAATTTTATTTTCTTATTGACAAGTAAAAGCAATTACACTTTTCCAAAATCCAATATTTAAAAAAAATCGAATCTCAGACATTCTTGCTACATACTGTACATACTTCTGTGTGAATTTATGTAGATTTTGTATGGTATGCAGAATCACAATGCATATGTAAAATTCACATAGAAATATGTATTTTTGTTATCTCAATGAAAGTAATCTAAATTAAATTAAATCTATTCGAACCTGCACGATCTAATTCTGTACCAGGAGAAATTGACCGCGGATGAACGGGTTAAAAAACCTATTTTACGATTAAATAACAATACAGTGAATTAAAAACGCTCAAACTCGAAATAAAAATATATTGTAGTATAGAAATGCAGGAAAACTGGTTGAGATTGTCGGACAAGCCACTACGTAAATAGAGTAGAGAAAAATCAGGAATCAATATCGTTGAAAAATATTGCACATGTAAAAGGGCAAGATATTAAAGAAGCGAATTCCAAACGTTGAACGGACGGTCTGAAAAAGATCTGAAAAGACGCACGAAACAAGACACCGACCATAATAGACGAAGTATAATAAAATAAGACGCGTAAATAATACTCGTAAAAATAAGGTAAGAAGTAACAGTGAAGAATCATAGCGTACACTAGCGGCAAAGAAAAAAAGAGACAATAAGGACGCAAAGAACCTAAGGTGTGAAAAATTATCAAATTACACAAATGTGCGCACAGCAAAATGCCTATAATGCTAATGGATGTAGGGCTGTAGTATCTAATATAAAATGCTGTGAAAAAGATGGAAAACATCGGAAAAAATAATTAATGTTAAATACAAATATAATAATGTAATGTACAACTGAGGACATACTTAACATCATATTGTCTTCTCATATATAATATATTATAATCCTTTATGTAAAAAAATGGTAATTATTTGAAAATAAAAATGTGTGATACGTTATATATTTCTTAGTTTTTAATGTGCAATATTTTTCAAGAATGGCCTTGCACTAACAGTATCAATACTGTTCATTCCAACAATGATGATAACATTAAGTATTTTTTCTGAAATACTAGCCACGAGTAGTGTTCACCCAACATTAAACAAGGATAATGTGATATACGACGGCACCCGGATATCATTGCTGCATGTAACTCCACAAAAGTGTCTTGTTGTCATAGTGACTAGTCAACAATCACAATATCGTAAAAGCACGGAAACATTGCTACATTCATATATTGTCAATACATTTGTATAAAAAGTTATTTGGAATTAAAGTAGTTAACTAATTTAGAATTTTACAAAAGTTTACCCAAAGGTTCACATATCATAAATTAAATTTTGAAGGATTAATAAATCTTAATTTTGTGACAAAATATATATATATATATATCTTCGCAGAAAGAAATATTTATTTGCATATATATACACACACAATAAAGTGTAATCTAACCGATACATCATGATGGATATGGAGATGAATGCTGAACTAGACGGTGTAAGTAATCATTTATTATTTATAGAAATATATAATAGATGTGCGTTTGAGGAGACAGTATTAATGCCATTTGTATCATCCTATCTTTATTAGATGTAAAATAAGGGCAAAAGGAAAATAGCGCTAATCTCATCAAATGCACATATAATTACTAATTTATTATTTAATTCTTTATGATATGATTAAAAAGCTCTTTTTTTAAATTTATATCGAAAATTATTTAAAAGTACGAAATATTTTATTATTATAATTATATTATTATAATTATATTCATGTAATCTTGTTTTACTTTAAATGTCAATTTTATCGGATTATTTGTAGTTTGGATAAGTGACTACTCATATCAAAATAGCAATTAAATGATGCTGCTTTTTAGGCTGAAAGTGAAAGCAGTCAATCGTCCTCGGAAGGAAGCTCGGCAAGTAGCACATTTTGTACTTTGGAAAAAGATTATGCAAGGGTAAGATATTTTAAAAAATTAATTGTTGTGGATTTACAAAAATTATTAAAAAATATTTTGCTACATACTTATATTTATTCGATAATATATGACCGTTATCGTAATTTTGTACGGTTTAGTTTTCAAATTTTAAAATATGGGAAACTATATATGTTGAGTTTTTCTATGGTTTATTAAATTAATATTTTGCTAAAAATATTTTATTCAGTTTTTTATTAATATTAATACAAATTTATTAAATTTAAATACATTTTATTAATTAATTTCATAGTAAATAATACCTATACATATTTTATTTGAATTATACAATACATAAAGGATTTAGCTGTTTACATTACAATATTAATATAAACTTAATTATCTTATTAATACTCTTAGAAAGACAAACATACAGAAATATATAAAAAATATAAATGACATATTTATTACATTTTTGTATCTATTCATATACATACACATACATACTTATTGTATTATGTTTTACATATATTATACAATCTAACTTAAAGTAATATTTTTTTAAATTCTATTATAATAATTTTATATTTTTCAATTCTTTTGGCATATTAAAATTAATTAAGAAAATTAACAATTTATTAATTTTTTAAATTACATGAACTTTAAGGGGTTTATACATATAACAAGTTTTAGATGTTTATCTCTTAATAGCAAGATATATAATAACATACAAATGCAGCTATACTTATATTCTTTAAATTTTAAAGTTTTTTTATAATGAATTTAATTATAATCTATATACATATATGCTAATTGTTTGAAATTTTGCTTGAAAATTTTAGATCCGATTTATAGAGTGCTATTAAACATCTAACATCTCATTGCTATTAAAGTTCTTTCTGCTTCCTCCAATTAATGTTCTAAAAGTGAAACTATGATCACCTTATCTTCTCTAGATAACGAACGAAATGAGTGCTAATGAAGCACTGGCTCCCTTTGAAACTGAATACACGAGACTTTATGAATCCTTATACAAAGCTCATAGAAATGAGAAGGAACTATCGGAACAATGCATGTTGCTCAAGGTAAAATTGAATTGTACCAAATCGAATATAATTTTTTCTTTCCTTTTCTCGCTTTTTCTTTCTGTATTTAGAGAATTCATTTTTGTCTCCATACGTTTCCTATATATGGCAAATATTTTTTCAGAATGAAATTATGGATAACACGCATAAGATATATAAGCTGAAAGAAACAGTAGAAGCTCAAGAGAATGATATAGCTCGATTAAAACAGGAAGTCACTAAAACGACAAAGTTAGCCGATGCGGCACACGCACGTGAGCAAAATGCACAAGAGATGATTGAAAATTTGCGACTAAATATTACGAAACTGGGCCTAGAAATCGAGCAAAAGAATAAACAACTAGCAGCCGAGAAAGAGTGAGTCCGTTGAAGGATAATTAAAAGGATTTGGATCTGTGAAGCTAGCATGACATTCTGTAGATATCAAAAAATTTACAACAGTTTCAGTAGTACTTTTCGTAGTTCTACAGTTCCTTATAAAAATAAACAGTAGTTTCACATTTATAATACTAATCCTAACCAAAATTCAATTTATTTTTTATTTCTTTCCAATTCTACAATTAGAAAGAGATAAGGAAAATAAGTTAAACCTCAGTCAAGAATTAATAACCATAAGTTGTGAAATTAGGCCTAAGATGCATTTTCTCACTTAAAGTTTAACCATAATTATAGCATTACCGTTAGCAAGAAAAAGGAGAATCTATTGAAAGAAAGGGAGATACTCATTAGCGAGCTGGAGACTATGCGGCAACGCATGAAAAATATGTCCAGTTACGCGGAGGAGCTTGAGAAAAAAAATAGCGAAGTCAATCAGCAAATGACAGAGATGCAGGGAACCATTGGCATGCAACTGAATGAAATCTCGCGTGAAAAAGGTGTTCGAGAGAGATTAGAAATGGACGTACGACAACTTCAGGAAGAGATCATTATAAAAAAGAACGAATTGGAGGTAAACTGTTCGTTTATTAAAAACTGGAAGAATAATATAAATTTACTTATATGCATCATATATGTATGTTTATAGATATATGAATTTGAACAGTAGGTTATTAAATAATTACTGTACTCTTAACTTCGATTGTACGGAAACTATTACTTCAATAAATCCCACAAACATCTATAATGCTAATTATTACATTTTCGCAGTTCTAATTAAAATTAAATAATTGTATGATGTATTCAAGAATATTTTTTTAATACTTATGTTATAATACATATAGTGTTTCAAAATTTTATATCTATATGTATATATATTTAATATAAGTCTTAAAAAATTATTATAAATACATATAGGTTGCGAATGTATCAATTGAGGCAAACACGAATAACGTAACAAGATTAGAAAGTTTGATGAAAGATCAAAAAATAGCAGATGAGAAGCTGCGAAAGGAAATGAGTAAGCTGATGCTAAAGAAAATAAATCTACAAACAGATTTCGACAATGCAATCATCGAGACAGAAAAATTGGAAAAAGAACTCTCCGACAGAGGGAAGCAGATAAGAAGCATCATGTACGAGCTTAACAGGTAATAAATAGAAGCAAGTTACATGTTATATGAAGAACTAGTAATTTTATTGAATAATTAGTAACTATATTTATATATTATATATATATATAACAAAAATTCCTTATACAATTTATCCTTAGCATTATATGATGGTTTTGGCATCTTTACTAGACATGATGGATCTTTCTGGGATAAATTCCATCACTTTAACAGCATATGTAAAAATAATTACGTGAATTTTACAAATACGTTGATATCTTTAAGAAATATTTATAAATGTATATATACTGCTCAACAAAAAAATAGGGAAGACTTTTGAACATATTGCGCAATTATCAGAACATCATAATTCGGTGAAATGTCGGAGCAAAAAGATTAAAAAAGCATTTGTTACACCCAAGCTCCAAATTGCTTTAGGAGTATGCAAGTTCGAGGTTCCATCACGCTCAAGTCCCAGAAGGGGACTTCAAGGAGCTACAAAAGAGCGTAGCTAAACTCTTGCGGTCGATGCCCTCGGGAGCGTGCCACGAATCCAATACACTTTTGTGAGGGAGGGGGGTTCAGATATATGTCAGAGTACCGAAATACGGAACTCTATGACATTATCTGAGACAGTGTGTTTGTTTGGTCCTTTAACTTTCAGGTCAAGGAACGTAATCCATATGACCTGGGAGAAAATCTGTGCGACCTCGAAGGAGTATCGGGAAAGAAGACGGGGTATTTAATTAAATTTTATCAGAGTTGCAAGAAAAAGAACTAACTTTCATTATTATTTCTTTTACATACATAGATACTAACATTAGGGTTTGAATATATAATATATATAAAGTAGGGAAAAAGGCCGATAAAATCGATTCAGGGAAAAAGATCCCTGAATAACTCGAAAAATATGAATTTCATAGAAAAATATTGTGTACAACAAAAATAGAGCTTAAACAGATCTATTTATTGATCTTATCAGTTTGATCTTGAGTGGTATCGCCAAGGTCAAGTCAAGGTCATATTGATTTTTTTAAATGGAATATCCTATTTTTTTATTTCAGAATTGAATAACTTGCGTCAAGAACTCTTCAAAACACTGTAAAAATATATTTTTTCATTAAGTACTTTCCAAGTTATGAGAGTTGAAAGTTACAATACGGCCGGTATTATCATTATCCAAGGTATATCAATGAATTCATTTCTTCAAATAGATCTGTTTAAAAGCCCTACAAATTTTGTTGTACACAACATTTTTCTATAAAACTTATATTTTCCGAGTTATTCAAGGGTACCGATCCTTTTTCCTCACCCTGTATATTTCATTATATCATTTTTACAAATCCGATTTTATAGTAAATAATAAATGTTTTAGAGCAAAAGAGGACAGCGCTAAATACAAACATGAGAAGGATCTGATAGAAAAGCGATTCTTGAAAGCGGAATCTGAACAATCTAAACTAAAGCGAGAATTAAAGCAAACTCTGATTATTGTCAAGAATGTTGAACACGCTGCTCAAACCTGTCAGAAGGAACAACTCGAAGACAAGCAACGTTTCGAGATTCTGTTACGAGAGAAAAATAATATTGCCCTTAGTAAAGAGACCGCATATGAACAAATCAAGCGATTAGATCACGAACTATTGTTATGCGGACGTGGCAAGAAAAAACTAGAACATGAACTGAACACACTTACACAAACCATAGACGACATGAAAAAACAAATGGAAATTATAGAGAAAGACCGGGACAGATATAGTACAGCAGTACAGGGATTAGAACAGCAGGTGAAGTATAAAACATTTACAAAATACCAGAAGTAATAGTAAATGTGAACAAACTTTTGGCAATTGCTAATTAGTAAGAATTTGCTTTAATTCACTATATATAATAAGAAAAAAAATCATTTCTTGAGTTTTCGCGGCATTTTTCTTCAGCTGAAACGCGAAGAGAAAGCAATGCCTCAAATGCTGTTTTTCGAATAATATAGTTTTTACTACTATTTTTGAGATATATTTTTTGAGATTTGATTTGCAACATTAACATCTATTATACCTTATTTTAAAACTTAAGGATAACGCTTCAAAACGATTGTATGGTGAGAAAAAAATTCAAATTTGAATTGAATAAGTGGTGTAGTCGACTGAATATTGGGGGGGCCGAGAATTTAAGTTGTAGATCTGTAACTAATTGTGAATAATGAGTATATTAAGCAAAAAGTGATGATTAAAATATTATATGTTGGCAGCTAGAGAAACAAATAAGCGAGACTAAACAAAAACAAGTGGAAGTAATGGATTATAAGAAGCGCTTGGTTGATTCCGAAACCAAGTACCGTCAACATCAAAGTCTATTTGAAGCTGTTCGTGCAGAACGGAATCTGTGCAACAGAAATTTGATAGAAACGCAGGAGGAGGTGCAAGATTTAAAGAACAAACTGAAAGTTACAAGTCAGCAGACTGAGCAATTGAAGGAAGATATTACGATGAAGGAAGCCAATCTTGTCAAAAAGGAATTTCGTAAGCTATTCTAATTTAATATCTTAAACTCAGCATCAATTGATCCATCTTGGATACAACTTACTTATTAATTTTGAGATATATGCAATGAAATTTATTATTTATTAAAACAAATAATATAGAGAAAGAGGGCAATGAGCCAATAATTTTTTTATTATTTATCATTTTTTATAGCAGCTTATCAGGGTCAAGTATTTCGTTGCATTTATGTTAAAAAAAATATATACGTTATAACTTTATCAGAAGGCACGGGAGAATTTCAGGTATCAAGTCAATCAATTAGATTTTTAGATTGACTCTTACAACAAGGCTATATGTACATTAGACTGTCAAGGAAAAAATCATTTCCTTTTTACAGCTTAAAAGTTTCCATTTCATGTCAAGGACACCAGTATCCAACATTTATTTAGTAATAGAAAGACAATCTTAGATTAGTAGAAATAACAATAACAATAATCAAAACGTATAAGTCTAGAAAATCATTCATTTTGCAGTGTTACGGAAAGTTGAGAAAGAAAAAGAGGAACTTAAGATTGATTTGCGAGCTTCTCGTATGGAAATATCCGACTTACGACAACAAATTGAAGAAGCAAAAAAGAAGGAAAAGAGCCTTAGACAAGCCATACATCAGGCAGATTCAGACATCGTACGTCAGAAGAAAAATATTGACAACGTTATGAATGAGCGTGACATACTCGGTACACAATTAGTTCGAAGAAATGATGAACTTGGTCTGCAATACAGCAGGATAAAGGTATGATTCTTACATCTTTTACAGAGAGGTTGTTGTTTTAACTATTGTTAGAAATAATTTTCAAATTTAAAGGACTCTGCACAAATCTTATGGAAAATGTCCCTCGGGTAAATTGGCTAGAATTAATGTATGTTATTGAATAAAAGTCTTAAATAAAAGTCACAATAGGCATGATTTTTTAAATTCAATACTTTTCCATCCAGAGACGTTTAAAAGTAAAAACTATGGTTGTATCATGCTTCTTTATGAACCAAATATATGAATCTCTCTCTTTCTCCCTTCCTCATTTTTTTCTTTCCATCTTTATCTCTCTTTCTGTACTTGCATGTGTGCGTGCATATTATATGTCATAAATTTTGAATAGAATATTACAGTATATGTAATGTTAATTTTGTACAAAGTAGTACTTACAAGTAGTATTTAAATGTATATGTATATATATACAAATGCAATTAATTTCTATAAACTGAGCGCCGATTTGATTTGTCAGACTTGATATATATTATGAACTGTAATATTATTTACTACATCTGAAGTAGACAGTATTTTCTTCTGAAATGAATATACATATATGTATTCTTATATGCCATAGGTCTTGAATAGAACATTACAGTGTGGCGAGAAACAATACAATCAAAAGTTAGGAGATATTCGGCTACTCAAGTTTGAAGTGAAGAGACTTAGAACCGAGAAAATGTTATTAGAAAAAAATATTTTCAACGTTAGCGATTTGCGCCAAGAAGTTTTCCATTTAAATCGTGATCTAACAAAAGAAAAGCTTAAAGTCACTGCACTTGAGGAGGAAATTCAAACGCCACTAAATATACACAGATGGCGAAAGCTCGAGGTGAGTTTATTTAGGAGCAGGAGAATTAGAAAGTTGACTGACATTATGTTAAATAAAAAGAAAATTTAAATGATAAACTTAAGTAACTTAAAAAAGGAGAATATGGTGCATTTTATTTCATTATATACACTATTACACATATTTTCTTTTACAGGGTACAGATCCTACTGCTTTCGAGCTTGTTAAAAAAATACAAATTCTACAAGAACGTATTTTAAAAATGTCCACTGATATAATCCATAAAGAGAGGAAACTAAAGGATACTGAGAAATTATATATGAATCTTCGTGACGTTTTATCAAAGCAACCAAATATGCAGATAGATACAAGCTTAAATAAAGTTCAAAACATCCTACGTAAAAGGGCAGAGAAAATCAAAGTAAGTAAAACTTCAAAAAAAATTTGATTAATCGAAAATTCTTAAAAATCTGAAACTTCGCAGAAATCAAGACATGCATACCTAATCATGTAGTAATTTTCTATTTCAGTTGAGAAATGGTATTATAGATAAAAATACCTTTTTAAAAATGTCTAATATTAAAAAAAAAAAAAAATTAAGAAACTTTAACTATTGCTATTTACTACTACTTAAACTTTATAAACTTTTACTATTGCTATTGCTATTCCCTCGCATTGTGTCTGGGGCTTTAGAGATCTGTCGTAAGATTTACCTACTACGCAAGCACGCCCTAAGTACGTTGAAAGTAGGGTGAGGAACTCCGAGTTTCTTGGGAACAAAGCTTTCGCTGCTTTTTCTGTTTCCAAAGTCCCAACGGAGCGGATCAAAGCCAGTCGCTGTTTTCCGCTGCGTCATTTATGTCCATTTCCACCAATGCAGATTAACTCTAATCTCGATTCAATTTGTTCTTTGTCTTTTTCTAGTTCTATAAATTAGAAAAAGATGAACAGTAAGTTAAACTGAGATTAAAATTAATCTACATTGATTGGCATTAATTGTATAAGACACGTGTTTATCCTTAACAGAAAACAAAAAAAATTTTTTAAATTGAGATCTTTACCATATTTTGGTCCAATATATAGACCCAGTTTCACAACTCACAATTTTTAAAGAGAGATGAGGAATAAAATGAATCTTGATAAAGAGTCATTCATGAATGTGGAACTGGCCCAATAGTGCTGTCAACATCATAACGTTTGCGTGATGATACATGAGCTTTGCAATTTGTAGATACGAATTTGTAGTCTCTAGACTAAATAGCAGTTCACATGAACAAATGACATCAAATGCTCAAAATTAGACTCAATATCTAATTTGATATGAAAACGCGTTACGAAAATTTACGCATATGTATGCGATTATGACGCAGTAATATGTAGTAATAATGTGTCAATGATGTATATTGTATTTGTGAAGTCCTACTAAATTGATAAAACCGAGTATTTTAATATTCTCTTAAAGCTATTGTGATAAATAAATGCTTATTCTCTCTACAGTGTCTCATCATGGAGCTGAATATGTACGAGTCGCAAGTAAGCGAATTTAAAGATGATATAGCAAGAATGCACAATGAAATGTGCGAGTTGAAGAAAATGTTTTATACACAAAAAGGAAAACTCCAGAAGTTTAAAGCTATGACCTTGAAATCTACGTATAAAACTATTCTTCCAGATATTTCAGTACACACTAAAAAATTTTATGGAGGTGGCTTCAAGATAAAAACATGTACTTCAAAAATTCAATGTACTGTAAACTCTTCAGCAAGCAAGTAAAACAAATCTATATATAATGAAATAATCATGAAAGAGATATTTATCAATTAAGAGTATTTTTTATTTTTGTTTTTATGAAGTTTATAATTTATAATACATTATATATATTATGGCTCAAATAATAAAGAAATATTAAATTTATAATAATGCACCCATACATATAAAAGCAGAAATAGTTCTGCGTTCAGTTCTATAAAAATTGGTGACAGCAGCTAAATTAATAATTCACATTAATGGGAAATTTTTGACAAATTAATTCATATTGATTAAATTTACATCAATTGAATGCATGCTCTGAATTTAACTCGATAAAATCGGTGATAGCTTAAATAGAATTCCTACTAATCACGTAAAAAGAGGCCGAAGTTTCAATCTACGTCCTGCCATAATGAATGTGAATTCATCTGCATTTTCTTTGAGTTTCATAAACATAGAAAAGAAATAATTTATTTAAAGTAATACATGATTATAAAAAAAATTATATTTAAATACGAAATAAACTAAACAGTTATATTATTACTTTGTTTATTAATAATTACTTATCGCATTTACAAAAAATTATAACTTTTTTAAGTTATATTCTTAAAAAAGTAAAATATGCAAATAAAAAAGTAATTATAATTAAATAGTGTAATGCAGCATATTTTTCCCGTCCCACTTTAATCTCGTTTACAGTCAGTCAGGAGACGTCGTCTCCGCACAACATACAACTATCTCGAATCCCGACTGATTATAAACACGATCTTACAGACTGCGGACTGTCGGATATATAATATTTTTAATGTATATCCGGTGTGGTTACAAAAATGTGGTGTATTGCAACGCATTATATAATGTACAATTAATTCACCTATATAATTACATTACATTATAATATTATTAAATATACATTAAGAGAAAGGATTTTGTTATAAGAACAAATCAAAGAGTAACAAATGTAATAGTTGTTAAAAAAAATGATTAATTAGTTACTATTCGAAATTATTTTGTCAATAATTAACAGTAATACTAGCAAATAGAAGATAAAAAGAATAAATAGCAAACAACAAACCTATTTGTTGTTACATATTTACAAATCATTTATTAAAGGTACTAATGGCTTGTTAAATTAACAAAATCTTTTCTCAAACCCATATTTCAGAGATATTTTAAGTAGCGTATTTTTAGATATTCTAAAAGCGAAATTTTCTCCTAAATTTTTCCTCAGATGTGATTTAATTGTGTAAATATATAAATTATAATTAATCGGACAAAATAATTGAGCACGCATCTTTCCTCTGGCTCAATTAACCTGAAGGCACGTCTTCTAGTAGAGAAAATGTAACTTTTTCAGGAGATGTGTCTGAGTAGAAGTGATCTATATAATAAATATAATAAACTATACACATATTTTATACTATACTTACTAATAATAATAATAATAGTAATAATAATATTAACGATTTGTAACTCTAATGGTGTTCTTGATACCTTTTACATACTTATTACAAAATATAAAAAATATAAAATTACAAAATACTGGCAGTATTCTTTTTAATGATACTTATCATAAAATATAAACATATAGAATCACTGGCAGCTTTCGTTGCACATGATTACTATTTTTCACGCCACTCGATCTTAATTCATCCACAGACATTTCACAGTTCTATCGACGTGAAAATCAATCTCCAAAACTAAGAGAACAGTGGAAAAGTGGTGCTATACATTCTTTCTTCCATGTCAGAGTCGCTTTGCAATCTGCCTTTTAGAAGCAACAAAGTTGAAAACAATAAACACGCAGATAATAAATGCCAGTTCCTGGTACGAACTGAAACAATTTTTTTTTAAGGAGGAGAAAACCTTGCATAGGTTCTCCCAACCCCCGGGGAAGGGTCAGGAGGTATGTGAGATTCCTATACTCACTAAAAACTTCTCCGTGCCTTTGCTACTAGTAAGTATAAGGATATATAGTAGGGATAAGACCCCGTTTTCGATTTAGCAGTATGTTATAAGCGGTCATGTTTTTGATGACATCAATCCTGATCACATAAAATCCATATAGTTCTTTCTTTACTATAATCACGCTATGACATATCGCTGCGCTTGTCTAGTGACGAGACGCTACCGTGTCTCCTGAATAGATGATTACAGCTATTAATTTTATGGAGCATGTGACTGTGCGTGGATGTATTCGATTGATCACCGATTTAGTGGTTCTGGAAAGGTAAAATTTTTTTTATGTCCCTTTTTTGTTGAATATAGACCGGTGGTTCTTAATATTATTAATACGGTAGTTGGTTACCAAAGATATGGTGGATCCTGAAAACTCGTCTGAAAAAGATCAAAGAGGTGATTGTCCTTACTCTATATCTTTATACTGTACCCTTGTTACACCATATTGTAGAAAGAAGAGGGCAACTACTTCGTCTCCACATCCTCCCGGATGTATTTTAGAAGGTTGAATCGAGGCTCGAGTCGCCCGCTCGAATCTGACCCATCGACCTCAAAGGAAGATTGAAGATCTTCCATGGTTCATCAGTGAAAGCGGAAAAGGAACTAAACACGTCCTCTTTCGTTCTGCTCCATACATATTCGTTAAGGGTGGAAAAGTGGCGCTAAGCTTCCTTCCTACACCTCTGTCAGAGATACTATCACGATCATCTGCTTATGCTTTATTTCTAAAAATTCAACAAAAGAGTTAAGCATTCGTTTAAAATGAAAGCGGTTCCTTGATTTTCTAGTAACAACTTTTTCGAATTAGTAATGAAAGTCTGAACGCAAGTATAGCATAGCAAACAACGTACTGGTCTGTTATATATGCCAGAGGTCCCGGGTTCGATCCCTGGTAATATATTTACGCTCGTGTCTTCAATTCAGAATAGGCCGGCAACCTCCCGAGAGTATTTTTGCTCAGAGGAACACCTCTCGAAAAATCCGTCGTTCGGACCCGGCATTAAAACTGTATGTTCCATATGATGGTTATTTAATTGCTACAATTGTAACAATCACAATAAGCATCACAAGCATATGAAAAATGCAATACTTCATTGTTGCTGATGCCGTTATATAGTATAACTAATAGATATTTTAGTAGCCAAATTGCAGGGCCACAAGGTCAATCTCCGTCAAATAAATCTCCTGAGAAAGCTTTGATTGTCATGTTTTTCTAGATCTAGATAATTAGAATTTTTACACACCGACAAAAATTAAATGTATCTAAACAATCCTATTCCTGGAAAAGACTAAATCAAAATTTAAACTTTAAAGTCCGATTGACAAAACATCATCATCCTTCGTGAACAACCAAACTTTCGCCCACCAGTCTCCTACAAATCTTTTTTTCCTTATTCCCATATCTATTTTATCACCGCTGCTGCATGCTCACTTCACTCTTTCTTTAATTTGCATCTCTTGCCCTCATTTCTCTGGAACACATCTAGATATTCCTTTCATCACCTCTATCTCCCTTTTTTTCTACTTGTTCTTTCTTCATTTACTTCCGCCTTTTCCGAATCTCATAATCTTCGACTTCGCTACATTCAGCTCCAATCCTTTTCCCTCCAGGCAGCTCCCGAATCTTGTTACCATCGCCCAGAGAACACGAATGTCTAAAAAATGTCTTAAAAGAGATATCTTTAAGACTTACCTAAAGTTGAAAAGAAGTTAAATATAATATTTGTATATCTTTTTTTGTAAAGTCAACGCAACCTATTAATGCGAACTACTCAAGTGTCGCTAAGTTCTAATCCATATACGTGGATTTCCAATTTTCCACGATTTATACACAATCGGAGTGTATCCCATAAAAAACGAATTTTTGCTGCTAAAAAAATTAAAAAAATTGATTAAAATCACACACACGCGCGCGCACGTGCGAAAAATAAAAACAGAACTAAAAATAGTAACGTTTGTAAAGTCAATACTTTGAATTAATTTGAAATTACAATATAATAACTATATCAACCAATCTATACTAACGGTACATTAGAATAGCGTAGGTCTTTCCATAGATTAATTAAACAAGTAAAATTTGGTAAAACGTTTGTTTCAAACAAGTAATTTATTTCTTCCTTGTCTTCAAATTATTTGAACGATAAAACACTTTAAGAAATTCACAAATTACTTTTAGCTTGAAAAAAAACTTATTATATAAAAATTTTTTTCTTCATGGAAATTTTTAACATGACATCCTATGAACCTCTCTTACTCTTTTCTGAACATGACCCATAATATAAAATAATTAAAAAAATAGATGGTATAGCGTAATAAAAACACTGAACAAAAGCGGACAAAAATAGAATGTTTAATCGAATTGAATATTTCCATCTTAAGAAAAATCTAAGTTGGGAATTCATCTCAGATAATTCCATCTTAACTAAAACAGCAATAGAAAACGAGACCGTCGCATCGAAAATGTTCCCCTAGTTGATCTCACGGATAACAACTCCTTAATTCCTTGAACGATTCTATCATCGTATGTACAGATATATTTAAAAAATGTTTATTGGCCATTTCATTATGATTTTTTTTTAAATTAATAAAATTAAACGAGAGAAAGTCTATGGCAACAATAAGAGTTCTCTAGAAGAGATGCTATAAACGTTGAAAAGGTTTTTTAATAAGTGTAAACGCGATCAAGCCAATTTAATTTATTCAATCGAATTGCATGCATATAAAATATTCATATGTATTATTATAGTAAACGCGAAAAATCATTAAAAAATTGATACGTTTTAATCATATTTAATTAAAAGTATTAATGAATAAATTCATAGATTTTACGCAAATCATTAAATTCAGTAGTGCATCTGTTAATTTTCTTGATAAATATTCTAGCATTGGCTCTTAAGGTAGTGCACTTGCAAAATAAAAACAGCCAGAATTTTTTGAAATTGAAACTATAGATTGTAAAAGTCCAAGAGTCAATGACCGAGAGTTGTGACCTTACGTTCGAGATGATTGGTCCCCCATCGCTCTCATTATGAGAGAAAAACAACTGTATTTCTGAAGTAGTGGTGTTATTGAATGTTGTCTTCAGTTACTCTCGAATGCTTCGTCTATTTTATAAGTCTATGGTTCTAACAAAAGTGAGCATCTGGCAACACCGACGTCCGTCTACGTCTATCCGTATTCATTTTCTTTTCGCGTGTGCGTGTGGCCTTAGACAAATTTAGTAAAAAATTTCCTCACTGGCAGGAGTGGGTGTATCGCCAATAATGAGCGCGCGATGGGATTTAATTTTTAGATGATTTTGTCGCGAGTGTACTACCTTAAAATAAAATCCGCAATTTTTATTCGTTATTCATTCAAGCATTCCATAAAATCCACACATATATGCACTAATTACATTATACTGTATACATATCGATACTATATGTAGGCTGCTCCGAAAGTTTCCGCAAAATTGTATACAAACGTATAATTAATTTCTGAAATTGGCTTTATTGTTTCTCAAATACTCTCAAAATATTTACAATGTCAATACACTTTTCTATTCAATAAAATCAATCAACGAAGCATTATTTTGACCATCTTTCCAACACTTCTACCGCACTTCAATTTTGTTGAATACGGCTCAACATACACACTCGATTGTCGCTTGCTTTCCGATTCATAGCAATGAATCCATGATTCGTCACCTGTTACGATGTCATACACTGCTCTGGACCGACTGTGATCATATTTTTGAGCATTTTTTGCACCATTTAATACCTTTTTTTAGACTTTGGTCAAAACACTTTGGTTTAGGAGGCGTCTTTATGATTAAATTGTACAGTATTTAAAAAGCACACAGTTTTCTGACGCTAAGATTATCATGTAAGATTGTTTTGATTTATGTCATACCAGACTAGGAATGCTTTTATTTCTCTGTAAGTCGTGCGATGGTCTTCCTGCAATAAGTTACGTACAGCATCAATGTTCTTTGGAGTGACCGCCGTAGCAGAACGGCTTTCACAGGATTTGTCACTGAGTTCTACTTGATCGCGCTTAAAGTTCGCGTACCACTACTACCACTCATGAACAGTCATTTGAGATCGTGCTTCATCGCTAAATGTCAAGCGAAGACTCTCCACACATTATAACGGAATTAGCGACTTCTTCAGGGGATCCTAAAGACGATTAGTCATATTAAAAATAGCATTTACACACAAACGATTACGTTGACACATCACTACATCAATATCTTACTCACACACGCCACACATACATATATATATAATTTTTCGTATCGCAATTATATTGTAATTAGACATCTAAATCCAATTTTAAGAACTCCACGCTGTTTCTTCATGCAAACTACTAGTCTTTGGACTATTATGTATTTCATAAATACAGATCGCATAGCTTTTATATGAAGTAAATCTTGTCACAATGTGTAATAACGTAACAGCTCCATATTGGACTAAAAAATGAAAAAGTAGAACTCAATTTCGAAATTTTTTGTCATTTTCACCATAGGTTTTTACCTCACAGACGCGCATGTTAATGCATATACTTTAACTCTGGAAAAAAATTTTTGAATCTGTGAATGACAAAAAAAATATTTGCGATACAAAAAATATATGGTTTAGTCAGTAATACAGATGTTTTTAGGATTCCCTTAAAATCATGGATATAAAAAAATCATCGCGCGGAAATGTTCTCGAGATAAATTAATTTTTTCTTTCGAAAGTGTTAACTTTAAATATGTCTCACGGCTGAATGAAACGAATGTGTTTGTTGATATCAAAGGCAAAAGTGCCATTAAATAACAAAATAAAATTAGCATATCAACAGTTTTAATGTGACACGATGTCTAATGCTATTTTGCGAAAACTTTTAGAGCAATCTATGTATATGTATACTACACTATACCATACCATACCATATATATATATACAATAGCATACTATACAATAGCAATAGCGTACTACACTATACTATACTATACTACACTAGACTACACTACACTACACTACATTATACTATACTATACTATACTACACTACACTATACTATTCTATAAGACTATACTACTATAAACAATAGACTATATGTACGTTTGACAGAACTCGTATCAGAGAAACACGACACATAAACGTTTTTATTTTAGAATTATTCTCTATTATCATTTTAATGTGTGAGTTTCCTCCCCTCATCCTCCGTTTTCCCTTTATTCCCCTGTCTACTTACTGTCTGTAATTCATGACCAGGGAGAGGAAAAGAATACTTGTAACTGGTTTTCTTCTGTACTTTCATTATTTACTCAACTTTTGCATTGAAGAAAATTCACTTAATTAAAACATTTACGTTTATTTTACCTTTATTCAGTGTATGTCCCAATTGTTTGCGAATTGTACACTAGTAGCAAACCGAGTCTGTCTACTACATCACACTCGCGCTCAGTCAAACTTGCGTCGACAGAGTTACTTGCGCATCATTCTTATTTAAATCTTTATTCCTTTGTGACGAATCCTTGTAATCACTGCTCACTGTTATCTCAATGTTTGATCTTGATGTCATTGTTACTGTAGTGGTAGATGTCTTGCTAAGAAATCCTCTGTCCGTCTCCTCATTGTCAAAGTCCATTCTAGACGATCCATCTGCTATTATTTGATCACGTTGTAATCTATTAATTTTTTTTCGTGGAAACACACTATTTTCATTGTTCAGTATCGCGTTAGTGTCCTTTTTAGCACAACATGCCTTAACAAAACTTTTTTTAAAATTGTCACTTAAAAACGCATATAGAATCGGATTCATAGCACTATTGCTATAACTCAGGAAACCAGCTAACAGGAAAGTTGCAATACCAATATTAGTTTGACATTTTTTTGGAGGGGTATATATCAAGGCCACTTGAGTAACCCAATAAGGTAACCAACAGAAGACGTATACAACGATCACTGTTAAGACCAGCCTGGAGACTTTTCGATGTGATTCTTTCTTCTCTTTTGATTTATTTTTTGGTCCCACCGTTCGCAGTTTTTTTATCACCAGTGAGTAGAAAACCACTATGAATATCAAAGGAACGACGAAGCTTAAGATAAACATGTAAAACGTAAAAGTAATATGACCGCCGTGATCATTAGGCCAATAAATGTTGCAACTGACAGTACCATCTATGTATTCTTTGGTGTTTGCATAAAGAAATATCGGTGTCATGAGGAGAACGCTAGTAACCCAAGCTGAAAGCGAAATTATTTTTGAGATGAAAGGCGTCCGCATCTTCGGGGATGAAATCGGGTGGCATACAGCGATGTAGCGATCGGCACTCATGATGAGTAGAAATATGCTGCTGGTAAACTGATTGATACTTGTTGTTATCATATACACTTTACACATAATGTTACCGAAGATCCAATCACGTAAACTGATCGTCGTTACTAAAAATGGTATACCGAGGAGGAAGCACTCATCTGCGATCGCCAAGTTCACAATGTACATATTTGTGACAGTCTGCATGCCCGCAAAGCATAGAATAACATAAATGACCAAAGTATTTCCAAGAAGTCCAACGATAAAAACAACGGAATAGAGTATCTGATTAATTATAGCGATAAACGATAAATTATGTTCGCAATTTAATTCTGTATCATCGTACGTTAAGTTGTCGTAAGTTAAGTTATATATGTTATCCATTACATATATAGAATCTGAAATGTAAACAAAAGCATGTAATTAGTAAAGTATGTAATATTGTGATATATATAAGTTGCTTAAAAGATACATATTTTTAAGTTTATTTTTGTTATATCCGACAAAAAATTATATACCAGAAAGATAAATTACAAAGATTATACATGTCAGTAGAATCACCATTATGTACTGGATGTTCTCGTAGTTTGATACGACTCTCTTGGATGAATAACAGGAAAGTATTGATGATGAACAGGAATGTAAACATGGTTCTACGTATTTCACCGACTCTGTGCAACGCGAAAAATTATTATAGAAGTGATATATGTAGAGTAGTGCCATTGACAATGATGTGATAATGTACTGGCTCTCATGAAAATCATTTTAATCATGGAAGCCGTCGATATCTTGAGAATGGCTTGGAGAATGTTATCGATGACGGATGTAACCAAAAGATAAACTTGTGCTGAAGCGAATTGTCCTATGAAAACCTATGCTGTAATTTCAAAGTTGCAATCAGTAAACTGATTGTGAGAAGAATTGTTTATTTGATTAATAAAAATTTGATAATTTAAATTGTCTTTATTTTTTTCGTATAAAGCATATATTTAAGTCAAACAGTTACATTATATTTAACTTAAGTGTAAACGCGATTGTTATGAAATGAAGTTCGTTATAATACATGGACACATATCTTTTTGTATGACTTAGCACCGATATTTCAATTTTATTCATTGTTTGAAGTATGAGACTTACATGTAATTTCTGTTGATTTTTATGATTTTTATTTTGATTTCTCTTTTTCTCGCCTTCCAATGAAGAAATAATCTTAGTCTCTTCAAAAGTAATATGGATTCAATTTGATGTACAAAAACTTATCTAGTATTATTTTAATGCATGATAATTGCAAAATTCTTGCGGCATTACATAAATAGAAAATGTTGACAAGCCGAAACAGATTTGACTCTGAGACTTCTTCCTGTTTTCAAACTTGAAAAAATGGATCGGTGGAAAGAGATTCACATCGAATGAGGAGGTCATTGTCGAAACAGAGAGACCTATTTTGCAGAGTTCGACAAATCATATTTGTCGGAGGGATCAGAAAAATGGCACAGGCGTTGAGAAAAGTGTATATTCTTCTAAAAGGAAATTATGTTGAGAAAAATGAAAGAAAAAATTTGTTAAAAACTTACGTCTTTATTACTAACATAAGTACTTATTAATTTGCCTTCGTAGAGACCAGGAATCAGTTCATCGAATTGATGAGTAAAGGAGGAAAATTTCCACTTCATAAATGCATAATTCATACGAATGTGAATACAGGGTCCGGTTATCTCACGTATCCTATATTATACCATTTAATTAATAATAACGTGAAATTAATTAATAAAAAATTACAGTACAATAAAATTTAATGACGAAGGAAAAATAATTTTTCAAGGTAAATTTTGCGTAAGTAGAACTGTAGAACTTATAAAGCAGAATTTTCATTAGGAAAACGAAAAAACTCTTAAAAATTCTTTAATAAAGTCAGAATGAAAAATTCTTTACAAATATGAATAACTATCCCGGCCAACAGATTCTTTCTAATTGGTTCAATCAGTTTCGGTAACTTATTAAATATTTAATTCCTTTAAAAATCTATAAATTTTGATTGCTGTTTATGAATATAATTAAAAAATTAAAAGATGAGAAGTAAATGTATACTATCCGTGACACAATTGTATTGCAGATCGGGGATTGCTATAGTGAAGCCAGTTAGCGCCGAGAATTAGGTTCGGGCGCTTCCGGGAAATTAATTATTCCTAGATAAACAATAAGCTAGATACACGGTAAGTGTAATGTGCGTGATATAAATTTTCTCATCCTGGATACAAATATATTATGCAGCTCATTTGTGTTTTATGAAATGGTGACACTTTTGCTGAGATCGATAAAACTCGAATAAATGTTTAAATGCGATTCCATTTCGATCAATTGTTTCAGTGTCTATAAAAGCCTCTAAAAATCAATGTTTTAAATTATGGACAATTATAATTCGTATTTAAAGTTTCAAACTGAAAACGGATTAAGATATTTTTCAGACGAATTGTTTACGCGTTGTCGCCGTCACATCACAAATTGACAGACACTTGCTGTTATTATACTTGTTGCAATTAATGGCATTCATCCTTTCGGTCGAACCTTAATTAGAATCTCTTCACTTTACAGAAATACACGAAATAAGATAAATCCTTTCACGAGAATTTGTTTTCGGGTGTTCTTATGTAAATGTGATGTAAAATCATTCCTTTTATAGAACAAACATAGACCTTACAGGATTTTTATTTATTCTAATATGACAGAGACTAATAATTGTAATTAATGTATTTACAACAATTACAGTGTATAATGTTTTGTGTATGACTATAGAAATAAAAAATACGCATAGCGACCTCTGTCGTCTGTTGTTTAATCTCTGCTCTAGCGATATTGATTTTTGTTGGACTTGCAACAAATATTCAGCAGCTATTCGGTATTTTGTCTATTCGGTAAATGAATTGGTCTACTATTCAGCAGAATTTCCATTAGTTTTAATTGTAAAAATAATACAAAAAACAAGAAAGATAGGAAAGAATAAGAATAAAATTATAAAAATAAGAATAGGAAATTAAATTAAAGCATTAATTTATAATTGTTCAATGAATATTCCATTTAATATTGAAATGGCATGTAATGCATGTATAGGTGATATCTTCTTTTCTTGTAGAAGTGTACACTAATAGTATACGCTCTTCACTCTGTTTTACGTCACGCAATCCACAAGTTATAGATACTAAGCGGATGAATCTATCACAACATGCCATGCACACATGATGATGCTAAAGGCGCGGTCGGGAGTGTCGCGCAACCGCCGCATTGTTTCTTTACAATAAATTTAAAATTAATACTGAATATTATCGATTATACAACACATGACTTTGTCAAACATTCACGATTAAGTTCAAATAAATATATTATTCGTTTTATCTCTAGTTTTTACTGTTTTGTTAATTTTTGCTTGAGCTTTTCATGTAGATATATATACTATGGCAAGTAGCATGAATAGATTTTGATGAGCTTACAAATTGGTAATAGGAAATAGTATTAAATACATACGTAAACTATTTTAATCTTATATATATATATATATATATAAATGTCACAAAAAGATATTCTTCCATATGTTAACTAGATTTTAGACATAAGAGTTTTGCAATATTGTTTTTATTTTTAAAATCCTCCGATTTATCGAACTTTAGTATAAGAATTGAATTTTTTATCTACGAAATTATTAATATAATATGAAATGATAACCACACAAGATATTTCACGCTTCAAGATGAACAGTAGTGGACGGCGTTGAATTGTAATAAGAATGAGATGCATGATTCGTATTATTCTGCAAAGTGTCACTTGTGAAACAACTTCTCCGCATAACCGTACATTTTTTTTGTACAGAGAGAACTTTAGATCAGATTAATCCCACTTAAATACGTACTCTTACGCTATATTGTGAATATCTCTGTTTTCTTTCGAGCATTTTTTGATTCGTCATAAGAACAAAGTATTAAAACTACACTTCATTTAATTGATTGGTATTAATTACAATTACTAATAAAAAGTATATTAATTATATATCACATTTTATTAATATAATAAAATTAAATTAAAATTAAAATTATATAATTTTAATTTTAATAAAGTAAAACCAATAATAATAGCTAATGAGAGTTATTGCGTGGTTTTTGGAGCAAAACAGATATTCTTTTATATTTACATAAAACCAATTATGTAAAACATGATACGTTTTAATTGATTTTATGTAAATATTTCAAAGAATATATTAAAAGTTTCACATCAAAAACCGTGCAATAACTCTCATTAGCCATTATTATTGTTTTTACTTTTTTGACATTTTCGAGAGTTGAATTATTTGTATTATTTTTAATTAATATTATTATATATGATGTATGTAATATACATATCTACAACTTTATATTAATGATAAAATTGAATTACAGTCTTATTATTAAAAAAAAATGTATCTAAAAAACACTATTTTCTCCATTACTATCTCAAAATTTTTGTCTCTTAGCCTTAAATTCTACAAATGAAGAGCAAACTTTCAAAATGCATTTTGTTTGTCTCTAGTTAGAAAACATATATAGTGCACTTCAAAATGTTTGTATTTTTTAAATATATAATTTGACGATGAGAAAAAATGTTTATAATATGAATCTTTCAACACTGTATGAACACTATGCTACTATTTGCAACCAAAAAATGAAATTTTGGACAAAACATATTTTAAATGTCTATACTCATCAAATAATTATGTATCATGAATTCAAAAACAGCTGCAAATTAATTTTTTGTTTACACTCGCGAAAATTAATTTTTATTGTTTTATTTTCTACGGTTATATCATATGCTATACTCACACAAATAAAATTATTAACATTAACGTTATCATTATTATTATTATTAACATGCACTCACCACGAAACTGTCGTTTCTGCAAGTCTTCATTAAAATCTCATGTAGGTCTATATTAAAATCTCGTCTCTCTCCATAAGATGCGCGATCACACGAAAACACTTGTCTCACTTTGCCTCTTCATTGAAAGACATTCTTCTGATGCAATTGAAGCGAATTCTAACGCGATTTTGTCAACTATTGGTCGATTAGTCAAGATAATTAGTCCATGACGACGTGATGAATATTTACTCGAATGATTGACGAATGAAGTGACGAGTCAGCCTCGTGAAATGATGAGAGAGCAAACTAAACACATTACACGCATGTCTACAAATATTGGCGATTGCGCAGATATTCGTAAGTATCTACAATTTCTGATAAATCAATAAAAGGACCTTAAACAGCACACAAATTTAAAAGACATTTAAAAAGTGCCTTAAAATGTTAGGACGTCTTTCAGACTTTCTGAACAAAAAACATTTAAAACTTATTTTTATTTTGGA